TGTGGGGGAGCTGATATGTCATTTCCTTCTGTCTTCCTGCTTCCGTAGATCCACCTCTTCGCTGCGCTGCGGGGAAGAGGAGAGCGGAGCTGGAGCTGGGGCGGTGGGTTTCTTTGGCGTGCTGGAAGTCAGGACACTTGGGTTCTTTTCCTTTCCCCTCTATGGATATGCCACGTGACATTCTGTGCCTTAGTTTTCTCCCATGTAAAATGTGTGTTTTTACGTGCAAGGATGCTTTCAGAATTGGGTCTGGAGAGGAAATACTTAGACAAACTGGTGATGTTTCAGCAGGATGTATTTGGAAGTGGCACAAGTGTGCTCTTGCCAACAGTGTCCTTGTCCTTTTTTACTTTCTGTTTCCTTTCCCAGTATCTTACCTTTTGTCACAGTTGCAAAAGCGAAACCAACCCCAACAGCCTTACTTCGAGGAAATGGCACAGGTACAGGGGAAGCAGCCAGGTGTGACTGTTCCTTTCTCTCAGCTGCATCTCTGTCTTCTGACTGGAGGGCAGTGGAAGGGCCTCCAACTCATATAGGTGAATTGGTCCCCTTGGGTTCCCACAGCCTGCTCCTGTGACAATAGAAGTGGAAACGGAGGGTTACAGAAGGACTTTGTGACGGCAAGGGATTGACTATAAAACAGGAGATGAAAATCCAACGTTGATAAGTGGGATATGATGTGTCAGAGTAATAACTGTAATGCTGATGTCCTCTGCACTATCTGATACCACTTCAGAAAGAGATCTGGGGAACTGTAGTACGTAGTTGTTGCAAAACCACAATTCTAGGCCTGATATTGGGTCCAGGAATAGTCAATTAACTGTAGGTCTGGTCACATTCAAAGGAGCCAGTCGGGTTCACGAAGAGTGTGGCTTATTAAATGTAATATATGAGGTTCTTTTGAATTGTCCGAGATATATGTGTGTTATTGAAGAATAGCTCTATAAAACACTAACAACACAATTGCAATCACAACTTAATGTTCTGGGTGAAAACATAGGGGGATTTAGGTCGGACATCAGGAAGAATTTCTTCACAGAAAGAGTGATTAGATATTAGAATGTGCTGCCCAGGGAGGTGGTGGAGTCATCATCCTTGGAGGTGTTTTAAGAAAAGACTGGACATAGCACTCAGTGCCATGGTCTAGTTGACAAGGTGGTGGTTGGTCATAGGTTGGACTCAGTGATCTCAGAGGTCTTTTCCAACCTAACTGATCGTGTGATTCTGTGACTTCATGTAGCCAAGTACACAAGTCTCACTGAAAGGTATCCCTTCTGGGGAGGGTGAGGAGGACAAACCTTTCGATCTGTCCCTACAATTTCCATGTCAAATTCTCATGTTCCCAGTTCGGTATGAATTGGGGTACTTTTATACCTTATTCACCATTACTGTACAACGTGCTGTGGCTGGGACTGTCGTCCAGTGTTCCATTCTTTGTGGTCGCATTGCATGGAGTACTTAGGAGGTGTAGTTGGTAGCAGTCTTGGTAAGTAAGTGGAAGAACAAGACCACGTAGCTCCCACCCCTCCTCACATTCATCCTTGATGCTGTGGCAGCACAAACTGCCGGCCCTCCATCTGGTTTCCATGTCTGCTCTCATCACTGTGGACCTCATCGCGTGTTGAGCTTTGCATTTGCTTCACTGCTTTGTGCTTCCAACAATAGTTTTATGAAAGTGTCAGCTCTTTGCTCAGAAGCAGTCTAAAATGTGATTGGAATATTAGCAATTATTAAGAAAAGGGTACAGAGTGACTTTGTGACTTTGTACTGTAAATGGTAGCCCACCCTTTTGAAGATGGCTTGCTCCTCTTGGAGCAAGCAAGAGTAGAGAAGGGATTGAGAAGTGACGGAGCTGATCAAAGATGCAGACTAGCTTCTGGACAAGAAACAGATTCCTCAACTTGAACAAGACACAGTAGGAGAAATAAGAATTTTGCTGTCATGAGTGCGAGTGGAAGAGCGGACTAAGGAACAAGGATTTCCTGCCTTTTTGGACAGATCTTGGGGTTCCACTGGAATCTGTGAGCAGTTAACTTAAGCCCTGCAAAAGCAAGACATTGTTTAGGTGAAATCTAATTAAATTGTGTAACTGGAACCCTGCCTTTAGCCTCCCTCTTCTTGCATGGGAGCACTCAGCCAGATCCATTGCCCTGTTTAGCTCCGTGTCCTATTCTGGGCAGTACTCCACAGCAGAAAGCTAGGGAAGAGGAAGGAACTGAAGCAAGGCTCCTGTGGGGGTGTCATGGGTTTGCGTGGACAGGTTTTGGTAGCGGGGGGTGGTTTCAGGTGTGGCTTCTGTGAGAAGCTGCCAGAAACTTCCCCCATATCAGACAGAGACAATGCCAACCAACTCCAGGGTGGACCTGCCACTGGGCAAGGCTGAGGCAATCAGGAGTGATAGTGATGCCTCTGTGATAACATATTTAAGAAGGGGGAAAAATTATCGGACAGATGTAATTGTGGTCAGAGAAGAGTGGAGTAAGAATATTTAAGAGGATATAGTAGAAAACTATATGTGTGTTTGTGTGTGTGTGTATGTGTATATGTATGAGAGGATAGCAGAAAATGCTGCAGACACCAAGCTCAGTGGAGAAGGAGGGGGAGGTGCTCCAGACACCAGAGCAGAGATTCCCCTGCAGCCCCCGGTGCAGAACATGGTGAAGCAGCTGTGTCCCTGCAGCCCATGGAGGACCACGGGGATGCAGAGAATCACCTGCAGTCCCTGGAGGAGACCCGCACTGGAGCAGGTGGATGCCTGAAAAGAAGGCTGTGAACCCGTGGGAAACCCATGCTGAAGCAGGCCCCTTGCAGGGACCTGCAGACCCATGGAGAGAGGAGCCCACACTGGAGCAAGTTTCCTGGTGTAGGACTTGTGATCCTGGGGGAGAGCCATGCTGGAGCAGACTGCCCAAAGGAAGAGTGCACCCCATGGAAGAGTGACCCACATTGCAACTGTTTGTGGAGAACTGTCGCCCGTGGGATGGACTCACACTGGAGAAGTTTATGGAAGACTGTCTCCTGTGGAAGGGATCCCATGTTGGAGCAGGAGAAAGACTTCTCTCCCTTAGCAGTGGCAGAAACATGTGATGAACTGACTGTAACCCCAATTCCCCATCTCCCTGTGCCACTTGGAGAGGAGGCAGAGCTTGGGAAGGAGGGAGGGGAGGGGGGAAGGTGTTTTTAAGATTTATTTTATTTCTCATTATCCTGCTCTGATTTTATTAGTAATAAATTCGGTTAATATCCCCAAGTTGAGTCTGTTTTGCCTGCGATATTATTTGGTGAGTGATCTCTCCTGAGTCTGTAAGAACACCAGGGTCTGTAGACTCCATCTTTAGCTTCCTCCTTACTAAGTTCCTAGAGCTGGATCCTCTGACTGGGCCTGAGCAGGGCCTATGTATCTGCATCAATTCCAGGTATTAACTTGCCGCAGAGAACTTTTCTTGCATTCTAGACCATTCAAACTCCAGTTCATTCTCCTTTTAAATTTCTTTCTGTCTGTTTTCTATTCTATTTCTAGTATTTCTGTGTATTTCTGTTTGTTTCTATCATATTTATTTAATGCTGAAGTTCTGAGACTGTTGTGATGGTCACTGTATAGATGGATATTGGAAATCAGTCCCTATCCTGCCTTGCTTACAAGAGGTAGAAGGATGGAGGGGAAATCCCCCCTAGATGTCTGTGAAGGTGAAGTGGCTTGTTGTGATGAAGTAAATTCTCAGTAGCATGAGCTAGAGGGGAGAAAACATATAAAAAATCTCCTTCTGCTCTGGTGCAATTCTCACTTGGGACTACCCAGTCTGTTTTATGCAAGGGAGATGGGAACTAATGAAAACAGTTTGTTGAAAGCCAGATAAAAGTTGCAAGATTTGGTGGACTATGAGATTTTGTACTTGGACCTTACTACCTTTCCCTCACTAGAATAATTTAACTTCAGATCTTCTTATTTCTTGAAAGTAAATGCAGACTTTTCTTCCCCTTGTTATACAGGAGTTTGTGCTGTCAGAGGTGGCGTCTCCAGCAAAGGACAGTGGAGTATCACACTTAGTAGGAGTGGGAAGTTGTTGAAGATTTCTGCGGTGGACTTGCACAAAAAAACGCAAAGTAAAACTTCTGCTACTGATGTTGTGGTGTGGTGCCCTAAACTACTGATGGGGGATATGTGTGAAGGCTCGTCCAGATGCATGTAGACTGTTTTTGTGAAATAAGTAGATGGCCTCAAAGTTTTGCATCTGCTGGAGGAAAAGAGAGACTGTGTGAAGAACAACAATTAAGACTAGAGTGGCTATGGCCAGAAAAAGAGAACAGGTGTCCCTGGAGCAAATCCCAGGGCATAGAGAAAATTCTGTCACTCCTGTTAGCGCTTCACCTCTTTGAGAGAGAATGTTCAAATCTCTCGTTTCTGATTCTGTCTTCTGCCCCCTTTTACTTACAGGCACTTCCATGCTTCTTTGCTACATCTTTCTTACAGTAAGGAAGTAGTGTTTCTTCCTTGTTTTCTGTGAACTCCTGGAAGGCACTGTAGATGTTTGGAGACAGGTGATTTTCTCTCCTCTGTTGACTTGCAGACCCACATGTGGCAGAAGTACCTTAAGAAAAGCACTGCTATGATTGACCTCCTCCAAGTACAAGGAGTTTCGCTCCTTAGGGCGTGACTTGCTGGGCTGCTCTTGGGTCCTGTTGTTGGGGCAGGTGTTGCCAAGCAAGCTTGAAAACTTGTGTTGTCCCTTATGACTTGTTAGTGACTTTCCAAGAAGAGAGAAACCACTTTTCCTCCTGCTCTAACAGTTGGAGCTCCTGCGAGCTGGCTTCCATCCCACTGCTGTCCCAGGAGTGGGCTTTGCCTATTCTACTGGTAGTTGTTGCTGGAGGAGCAAAACACCAAGGTTCAGGAGATGTAAGCGAAGGAGCAGTTAGAGGACAAGTGCTAGCAAGCTCTGCTTTTCTGTGTCCTGCTTGGCATATGGTAGTTACATCAACTGCTTTGTGTTTTGTCCCAGTTTCTTCCTGCTCTAGGTGCTTTCTGGATAATGGCGAAGATGGTGAGAAGAACATGTGCCTTTTGTTCAGAAGGGGCGGCTGGTTCTGTAATGTATGTTGCCAAAGAGAGCGATATTGCAGCTCATCAGGATTGTCTGGTGAGTGGCTTTTAGTCGGTCGATACCTAAGACCAGTGGAGAAGAAGGGATAAGGGGGAAATTTCCACTGCTTTTTTTGTTCTTGACTTTACAGTGGTATCTGATTTGAAAGGCTGGTTACTCAAACCAGCAAGTTTATATTAGATTGTAAAGCTATGAAAAGCAGCAGGGCTTGGCCAGGATTTTGGAGTGGGAGAGGCCATGGCTGCACAGCTGGACATGTTGATTTTTGGTGTTTTCATGTGTGTCTGTAGCTGATCAGTGATTCTAGGCACACGTACAGTCTACTAGTAGTAATAGGTCTTCTCAAGACACTAAGTTGGATAAGAAGGAAGTTCTTATCTACACATAGGAAGTTGTGTACTCACTGAAACCTTTGCAGGAAAGTATTCACTTGATACATGAAGGTAAAAAAACTTCCCAGTCTGTGCCTTATTTAAAATAAGAAGTAAAAATATCAGAAATTTATTATATAAAAATATCTGTGAAGCTTGAAGTGTGCTGTGATCCTAGAATGCATTTACTTTTCTTGCTGTCAGAATACCTCCCCTTTATTCTGGAATCTTGATGGAACCGGTTCTTGGTGTGCAGAATCAAGTACAGATGCTGTATTCTCCCTTCAGGAGAGGGAGAATATAGCTGAGGGTCATTTAGTGCAGGAAATGTCTGCTGTTAGAACAGTTTTCTGGCTTTTGGGGTTCCAGCCTTCTTATTCTCACAGTTTTTATGTGTACATCTTTATTTTTCAGCTACCTTTTTTGGTTGGTTAGTTCTTTTTGTCACAGAATATTTCAGAAACATTGGATACCTCTTTTACAGTGTTACTTGGATGTTTTGTTTGAAACAGGTTTTATTAGGGCTTTAATGTTGCTTTTCTCGCTTTTCTCTCTCCCTTCTTCTTTCTCTCTTGCCAGCAGCTCTACTCATTTCTTTGCCTTAGACTTATCTGTGCTGTTTGAGTTTTTTGCAGTTATCTATCACCTTCTGAGCAGACAGACTGTACCTGCCAGTTGATGAAAGGGTACCTTGCTTTTGTTTGGAATTAGCTATATACAATTGTTAGGAAATAGTTGTCAAGAACTTCCCCCTCCTCACTCATCATCATGGCTCAGCAGTTCTGTGGGAATTAAAGTGGCCCAAGTGTACATGTATATATTTTTTGTGGATTTCTCCCAGGCTTTGTACAATGTATCTATGTTTTTCATGCAGTCAACTCTTGTCAGCATTGGGCTGTATGGAAATCTTATAAGAGAGAAATATTGCATCCAGCTGTAAGTCTGAACAACTGAGCACATAACAAGATGTTCAAGGTGTGGAGGTCTGTTGGCTTCTCCTCCTTACTCTGGGCATGCTGGAATTCCACATTTTTTTCATTCATGTTCCTTATTTCATTCAGGTTTCTTACCTCATTATCTTTTCTTAGTTCACTTTCATGTCATGTGAAATCTCCTGTGTAGAAGAGGAGCTTCCTTCGACTGCAAAAATATTTAAGCACAGCTTCTTATTTAGTGTAGGTGAAACCTATTAAAAACACAGAGGAAAATTAACCTCCTTAGGTAGGCAAGTGCAAGAAGAAAAGATGTGCTCTTTGTCTCTTTTCTGCACTGGTGACTGAGTCACTCTTATTTCTTAATATTGTCCCTTTTGTCTTTAGTTATTTTCCTCAGGATTTGTGGAATCTGAAGAGTATAACGCAGAAAATCTGGATATAAGGTTTGATGTGGCATCAGTGTTGAAAGAGCTCAGGAGAGGAAAGCGGCTGGTAAGGAGTTTGTTTCTGAATCTGCAGTTAGTCCAGTCTCATAGTACTGAAGATTATCTGGCCTGTTCTGTGCTTTAAAAAAAATACATAAAAATACCTAGTCCTTCTGATCTACTAAGATTAGGAAAATTACAGATTTGATGTTAGAATCACTGGCATTATATTCTGTGAAATTTAGTTCATTCTGTATTAAAATGCAGGTGTTTGTTTGTTTGTTTGTTTCTGACCTCTGCGTCCTTAGTCAAAGTTTCCTAAGACTTTGGTGAAGGACTAAGCCAGTGCCTGAAACAAAAGCATGCAATCCATAAGTGTAAAGGGAAGCACCCTCTGTGTTTAGCAGAACGAAGGTCATTTATATGAGGGTTTTTTTGTAATTGGCTTTGTCTTCAGCTGCTCTCCTCCCCGACATCCTGAGTGCAACTCTTTTCATTATGAAGTTATCCTAGAAAACGTAAATAAAATACAAACACTAATACCCACTGGTCTTGAACTAATTTGGGGAAGTTACCCAGTGCCCTCACGTGGCTGTTTGCATCATCTTACAAATGTATCTGTATAAAGTAGAGGTAAAGTTAGCAAAAAGGTGGCTGAAATTATGACCAGGATGGGAGTTTGCAGGAGTGAGCTTGCCTAATGAATTACACAAAAGTGACTTGCAACGAAATATTGGACTTTCCTGCAGAGGATGGTATTTGCTTTACGTGGCAAGATTTTCAGTAGCTGCCTGTGACGTTTACGTGCTACACCCCGTCTTGTTCTAGGTGTGCAACTTCTGCCGCAAGAAAGGAGCCACTGTGGGCTGTGAGGAGAGAACCTGCCGCAGGAGCTACCACTACTACTGCGCGCTCTGCGACGACGCAGCCATAGAAACCGACCAAGTGAAGGGAGTCTACCGGTATTTACCCAAGTGCTGTCAGCATTTTTATGGTGGTGATGGTGGTGTCGGGAAGAGAGGCTTAAAAATCATGTGGTTTTTAACGTTTTTTTTTAGAAAAGGAGGTGTTTTCTTCTCTCTTAAAGTGATGCTTGATCCTCGGTTTGCAAGCACTGGGGAAAGCATTTTTCTTTCACATGAAAACTTCACAGCAGTGGGAGGGAATCTGTTTAGTGTTTGAGCCTGTAACATACCTGAAAGTTCACTAGGCCAAAACTGAGGCAATCAGTCCCTACTGACTACCTTGCTAGTCTTCAAGGACCAAGATTTTTATTATTAATGTCATGGAAATTCTCTATTTTTTTTGTTCAGAAGCTCCAGTAAATGCAGTCTGAGCAAGGAGTAGGCTATAGTACTTCTAGGTCTGTTCACATTAGGCAAATTCTGGTAATTTTCCCTCCCTATGCTAGCAGAGAACTTTGATTCCCACCAAGGACCTTGTATTTCAAGTACACTACTAGCATTAACACAACTAAATGGATTCTGAGTAAAGTTTCTGTTCTGATCATGCTAGTTCTCGTGTCCACTGCCCTTGGGCTGCCTGCGTTGCCATTAACAAATGGAACAAGTTGTTTGGAGGATGGACATGAAGCAGTTGAGAAATTGGGACTTCAGGGACCTTTTGAAATGCTGGAGTTGTGGTAAAGTCTAAGGTGCATAAAACCCCTGATGTTCGTTTCTGTGCAAGGCCAGAGAGATCACAGGCCAGGTTAGCCTTAGATTAGTCTGAGGGATCATCTAATCACTGTTTGTTTCAAAAAGCGATGGACTACTGCAGTCTTTAGTAGCAGTGGAAGATGGGTCCTTTTGTATCAAAACACTTGCACTCTTGGCTGCTTCACTAGGGCTGTCAGTCTAAAATACAAGGCAGTAAGCCCAGCTGTATAGGGAAGATGGTATGTTTAGTTTATGCTTGTAAAGTCTTTGGAAGTCTGCCAAGCTCATGAAGGAGTATAGCTGGGAAGATGGAAACTTCCTGTGATCGCAGAATAAATGGCTTTCATTATATATCTTTAGAAAGGATAGCTTGGGCTCAAGAAGACTGACCTTCTCAAGATGCTGAAAAATAAGTGGAACTGTCTAGATAGAAACTGATAAAGCAATGGTTGAATACATAGTTTGATGTGGTGGGTGTTTGAGCTTGGAGGTTTGGAAGAGAGACCCTTAAAAATGTCACTGTGAGACTAGTTGTGTGTCCTACATAGATATAATATGGGAAACTAGACTATAGCAACCTGTATTGAAGGGATGGGAAAGGACTGGATTAGAAAAAGATGGTGAGGCAGGCTTCAAGGATTTGAACCTAAAGATTTTTTGCATGGTATCAATGGCAAAAATTGTAGCTAGCCTGAAATTATTGGAGAGTAGACTTGAAAAACAGTGAATGTGGACTGACAGCCCCTGCACTTTTTCGTGGTGAAATATGACATACTAAAAAGCACATCAAGGGAGAGAATTCCTTTGAGAGAGATGGAGCTGGTGTTTTTAAAGTCTGAGTTGCCATTGTTGTGATGATGAGCATATCAAAACAAATAGAGCAGCAGCAAAAAGAGAAGGCATACAGTGCTGTGGAAGTGGCCAGTAAGAGTACAGGTGGGGAAATAAGTAAATTTGTTATGTTGTCTTGCAAAAATGATAGTAGGGAAGTGCTTCCAAATAAAGTGGCCTGAGTAGTAAAATATATTGTCTGTTCTTTATAAGATATTCTTGTGCTTAGGAGGGTTGTTTCTAACTGGGAAAGACTAGAATTGAAGGGAGGGGAAGAAATAAAAGCAATCTTCGGAGGGCAGTATTGGAAATTCAAGGCTGTAAATAAGGTGTCCCCATTACTTAGCTTTCTGATTGAGTTGTTAGGCATACCTAAATCTGATTTTTTTGTGCATAAAAATACATTTCATGCAGAAGAGCTGGCTCATCAAGGAAATGGACTGCATTTCTGAGGGCAGTGCTTCTATTTTTGTTAAAATAAAAGAATGACAATAATTAGAAAATGTCCTAGTAAATGCAGTTCCCTTTAAAAATTGCTTCCAAGGACTTGAGCAGTAGGCTTGGCAAATAGATTTGTAAGGAAGAGTTCAACTAAATCATGCTCTTTATAAGGCATTTTTGCTTAAGAAGTGAATTGGGATCCTTCTGTAAGAAAGGCATATTATAAAAGCTGGTTCATGTTCTCTGCGCATTATTGTAACCAGAAGATAAGGAATATTTCCAGTTATATTTGTTGCATTTTGCCTCTTCCAAGGAATTCACATTGCTCTCCTAGAACCAGTGAAAATATTCTCATCTTGCATACTACTAAAGCCTTTGAGGAATGGATTGAGCAGCTTTAAGCTACTGGATCTCAAACAGGGTGCCCTACTTCCTCAGCATTCGGGAACCACCTTGTCAGCACAGGCAGTGGGAAGGGAGGGGCACAGAGATCTCTGTAACAGTTGAATTATTGCATGGACACAGTTTGCAAGACAATGATTTGATTGTACAAGACAATCATTTATTAATTAAAACTTTCGGTATGTATAGGGTTTGTGGAAGGAGGGACAGACATTCCATTCATAGCCGGGATTAAAGGTCCAGGAAACCCAAGGAAGATGCTTCTCATCAAATAGATAGGCAGGCATTTCTTTATCACAATTTACAATGATAGACGGGGCAAAACAAAGTCACAAAGAGATTTACCACAGTCTACAAGTGTGCTTGCTTATCTTGCTTTTGTTTAGATCCCAAGGCTTCTTGCTAAGATCTCTTCTTATCTCTGCTGTGTCATAAAGAACTTACATTCCAGATCTCCAAGCAAGTCACTGGTGCTGTATGTGGTGGTGCTGTGCAGCTCTGCTGGCACATGGAGCAGGGCTTGTAAATTCAATCTGGCTGCTGAGCAGGTGTGGCAGGAGAGGTTCCTGGCCTGATGGTGCAGGGCGAGGGAGCAGAATGTTAGTTCTGCGGTATTTCACCTTGGCAGCATTAACCTCGTTTCAGTAAGAGTTGCCTCTGACACAGTGATCACCACACCAGATGAAGTGTGTCTGACGTGGGATTTGAACAGTGGGCGGGTCCAGGCAGAGTGGGCTGATGGAACTGGTCATTCAAGGCTTCGGTGTTGAGAGTCCAGTGAGGCTCTAAAAGTAGAGATACAAGCTTGTGCATGGCCTGTGACTTCATAGGAGGTGCCTTCTTAGGTGGGTAATGCTGAACAAAAATTCTGATAATTCTTTTTAAGTGTCTTTCAGTTTATGTTTAATGAAAAGAGGGGGAAATATCTGTTAAAATCAGTCAACATAACTCTGTTTACGTATTTATTAATACTTTTTCTCTTTTTCTTAAAATTGAACTTAAATTTTAGAGTGTTCTGCCCAAAACATGACCCAAGCAATAGGACCAGTCACTATGGTGAGTTTGTTTAACACCTTCATTGATTTCATTTGTTCTAAAAGTTTGCATCCTACAGTCAGTAATTCATTTGAACAAAATAAATGTTACTCCACCTTCATATTGAGTGGTGGATTTCCAATCTTGCAGGAGTGGTTTGGTTGAGATCCACATGGATGCACAAAAATCAAGAAGGTCTTTTGAAGTATGTTTAAATTTAATTGAAGAATGTTTAAATTTAATCTTCCCTAAATCTCCCTCAAAACTGACTTAAACCACCATGGACCTGATCCTTTTTGGAATTATTCTGACTGTTCCGGCAGGTAGGCCCAGGCAGCTTGTAAAGTCCACGTGAGACAGGAGAGCCACGCACAAGTTTGCACTTGATTAGCAAAGAGAGGCTGTTACGGAAGAGGTCACCTTGAGATTTTATCTGTATTTATGTTCAAACATTCACTTTTGCATCTTCTGTATTCACTGCAGTACTTTCTAAAATAGAGCCTTTCATTCTGAAGGATTCCAAAGAACTTTTTCAGTGTAACAAAAGGGTTATACAACCTGTTCAAGGATTGCTTCCTGTGCTACAGAAATGCAGCTTAATTTGGCAGTCTTGGTCCTTGCTGATTCAGAGGTAGTTGGAAATCTCACTGAATTAACCAGCCAAAGCTGGACTTTATTAATCTAATGCATCCAACCCTGCTCAAAGTGAAGTGGGTCCTAGACTGGCCTTTGCTCTGAAGTGAAGCTCAGTTGGACTGTGAGCATTCATGAATCATAGAATCAGCTGGGTTGGAAGGGACCTCCGAGATCATCAAGTCCAACCCTTGATCCACTACCACCATGGTTACTAGTCCATGGCACTAAGTGCCACATCCAGTCTCATCTTAAAAACCTCCAGGAACGGAGAATCCACCATTTCCCTGGGCAGCACATTCCAATGCATTATCTCTGTAAAGAATTTCTTCCTAATATCTAACTTAAACCTCCCCTGGCACAGCTTAAGACCATGCCCTCTTGTCTTGCTGATAGCTGCCTGGGAGAAGAGACCAACCCCCACCTGGCTACAATCTCCTTTCAGGGAGTTGCAGAGAGTGATGAGGTCTCTCCTGAGCCTCCTCTTCTCCAGGCTGAACAGTCCCAGCTCCCTCAGCCTCTCCTCATAGGACTTGTGCTCAAGTCCCTTCACCAGCCTTGCTGCTCTTCTCTGGACCTGCTCCAGCACCTCAGTGTCCTTCCTGAACTGAGGGGCCCAGAACTGGACACAGTACTCCAGGTGTGGCCTCACCAGTGCTGAGTACAGGGCAAGAATCACTTCTGTGGTCCTGCTGGTCACACTGTTCCTGATCCAGGCCAGGATGCCATTGGCCTTCTTGGCCACCTGGGCACACTGCTGGCTCATGTTCAGCTTCCTGTCAATCCACACTCCCAGGTCCCTCCCTGCCTGGCTGCTCTCCAACCACTCTGTCCCCAGCCTGTAGTGCTCCAGGAGGTTGTTGTGGCCAAAGTGCAGGACCCAGCACTTGACCTTGTTGAACCTCATCCCGTTGGAATCAGTCCAACTCTCCAGCCTGTCCAGGTCTCTCTCCAGAGCCCTCTTGCCTTCCAGCTGATTGACTTAGTGTCATCTGCAAATTTCTCATGGTTCCCCTCATCTAAATCATCAGTAAAGATATTAAACAGGACTGGGCCCAACACTGATCCCTGGGGGACACCACTAGTGACCGGCTGCCAACTGGATGCAGCACCATTCACCAGCACTCTCTGGGCCCGGCCCTCCAGCCGGTTCCTAACCCAGAACAGAGTGCCCCTGTCCAAGCCGTGACCTGCCAGCTTTTTCAGGAGTATGCTGTGGGAGAGGGTGTCAAAGGCTTTGCTGAAGTCCTGACAGACCACGTCCACAGCCTTCCCCTCATCCACCAGGCGAGTCATCTGATCATAAAAGGAGATCAGGTTGGTCAGACAGGACCTGCCCTTCCTAAACCTGTGCTGGCTGGGTCTGATCCCTTGTTCATCCTGTAAGTGCTGTGTGATTGCACTGAGGATGATCTGCTCCATAACCTTGCCAGGCACTGAGGTCAGGCTGACAGTTCTGTAGTTTCCCAGGTCCTCCTTCCAGCCCTTTTTATGGATTGACATGACATTCACCAACTTCCAGTCATTTGGGACCTCCCCAGTGAGCCAGGACTGTTGGTAGATGATGGATAGCAGCTTGGTGAGCTCTTCCACCAGCTCCCTCATCACCCTTGGGTGGATCCCATCTGGTCCCACAGACTTGTGAGGATCCAAGTGGCTCAGCAGGTCGCTAACTGTTTCCTCCTGGATTACAGGGGGACTATTCAGATTCTTATCTCTTTCTACAAGCTCCAGAAGCCAGCTGTCCTCAGGACAACCTGTCTTACTGTTGAAAACTGAGGTAAAGAAGGCGTTAAATACCTCAGCCTTTTCCTCATCTTTGATAGCTATGTTTCCACCCATGTCCAATAAAGAATGGAGGTTTTCCTTGCCCCTCTTGTTATTGATGTATCTGTAGAAGGACTTCTTGTTATCCTTCACAGAAGTGGCAAGATTAAGTTCAAGTTGTGCCTTCGTCTCTCTAGTTTTCTTTCTACATGACCTAACTATATTCCTAAACTCTTCCTGAGTAGCCAGCCCTTTTTTCCATAATTGGTAGGCTCTCTTCTTTACCCTAATTTCCTTCAAAATCTCCCTGTTCAGCCAGACCGGTCATCTTCCCTGCTGGCTTGCCTTTTGGCACACTGGGACAGCCTTCTCCTGTGCTTTCAAGACTTCCTTCTTGAAGCATGTCCATCCCTCCTGGACCCCCTTGTTTTCAAGGGTCATTTCCCAGGGTACACTCTGAACTAGTCTTCTGAATAGGCCAAAATCTGCCCTCTGGAAGTTCAGTGTAGAGTTTTTATTGATGGCCCTCCTTGCATCCCTGAGTATTGAAAACTGTATTATTTTGTGGTCACTGTGCCCCAGATGGCCTCTGACCACCACATCTCCCACCAGCCCCTCTCTGTTTGTGAACAGATCTAGCGGGGCCTCATCCCTGGTAGGCTCATTTACCAACTGGAGCAGGAAATTATCCTCTATGTGCTCTAGAATCTCCTAGACTGCCTCTTTGCTGTGTGGAGTTCCCAGCAGACATCCGGCAGGTTGAAGTCACCCACGAGAGCAAGGGCTGGCAATTTTGAGACATCTGCCAGCTGCTTGCAGAATAATTCATCACCCTCATCATCCTGCTTGTGTGGTCTGTAACAGACTCCCACCAGGATGTCAGCCTTGTTGGCCTTCCCCTTCATTCTGATCCACAGGCACTCAACCTTGTTGTTACTGACTTCAAGTTCCACAGAGTCAAGAGACTCTCTATCATATAGAGCCACCCCTCCACCTCTCCTACCTTGTCTGTCCCTTCTGAAGAGCCTGTAGCCACCCATGGCAGCATTCCAGTCATGCGAGTCATCCCACCACATTTTCGTGATGGCGACTACATCACAGCTTTCCTGCTGCACGATGGCTTCCAGTTCCTCTTGTTTGTTACCCATGCTGTGTGCATTGGTGTACATGCATTTCAGCTGGGCTGCTGATTTCACCCTTAACTCGGGCTTTCCACCCTTATGCTCCTCTCTGGAGAGCCTGGTTTCAATCCCTTCCCCCTTCAAACCTAGTTTAAAGCCCTCCTGATCAGCCCTGCCAACTTATGGGCTAGAGTCCTTTTGCCCTTCCTAGATAGATGAAGCCCATCTGATTTGAGGAGACTAGGTACCATAGAATTTGCCCCATGGTCAAAAAAACCAATGAGTTTTCCTAGTCCTCTCCTCGTTCATCCCTGCTACTGCAGGAACTGAGGCAAACACCACCTGTGCTCCTGTCCCATTAACTAATCGACCCAGCGCCTTGAAATCCTTTTTAATCGCCCTGGTACTTCTTCCATTAATATCATTAATGTCTTTGTGTTGTCAAATGTTGCACATACAATGTATGACGTATTCCCTGAGAACAGAGTTTTCTCCTAGAGTTCTTCCAGAGGCACGTAATTTGGAGACACTCTGAGGGCTAAATGGATTCTGTTGGCAGTGTCTGCCCTGCCTCCTAAATCACCTTCTCCCACCTGTCTGATAGAGTAGCTGTTCCCCAAGCCAAAGGTCTCTTGCTTGTAAGCAGCTCTCAGATGCACACGTGGCACTTGGAATAGCTGGGGGAATCAGCTGGTGAATCAGCTGAAGTAGCAGGTGCTCTGTCTGGGCCATCTGAGCAGGCAGGGGATGCCTGTGCTGAGGTGTTTGCAGGTCTGCATAGGGCGGTGAGGGAGACAGGCTGGGGTGGAAGTGCTCTGGCTGCATGATAGTTCTGACTTTCAGGATCCAACTTGGATGAAGTAACTCAGCTGTTCCTCTGGGGCAAGCAGAGCCAGCCCTGGGCTGTGTGGGAGCACAAGCTGCCTCTCCAGGCCTGTTTTCCCCAGTAGCTTCAAGAAAATTGGGTCAAGGAACATCCCCTTGTTCTTTGTTGAGACAATGTTCTTGTGCTGAATTGTCGGGGCTCTGCTGTTTAATTAAGCAGATAAGATGCCTTAGGGGCCAAGAACTCTCCTTGCAGCTGTACACAGGGAGAGGGCAGCTCCACATAGGAGGGCAGTTTGGGCTTGGAAACAGGCTCCAACGTCTGTTTAACTGGAAATGTTAGATGTGGACAGAGTAAAGGCTGACAGAGAGCAGCAGGTGCTGTGCAGGGCAGGAGAGGTTGGGCTACTCTTTGGGCTGTGTTCCTCTTGTTGTATAAGGTGTCCTCATGGCAAATATCAGGGAGAGTTTAGAAAATCCCATCACATGTCAAAGATGTCATGCAAGGAACACTTTGTATCTACACCCATGTCTCCTGGGTGTAGATTAGGCCATGCAGCTTTATTTTGGATCAAGTCAGAGAGTATGATTTCCTTTCATGCCGTGAAAAATGCAAATGTACAGCATCAGTACCCAAAGCCCAAACTTGTTTCAACAGCCTCCTCGTACAATGACTCCTCATTCCTTTTGACAGGATGACTTCTAACAGGAAAGACCTTACTAAAGTGCTGTCCAGAGGTTCTGGACTTAAATACAGAAGGCAGCATATAACCCCACTGCACTTAAAACTCTCAGGTTTTGTTGGGTGGTTGAACTCTTCTCAGGATTTCTCTGCTCCTGCCATCTCTTCCTTGCCAGAGTTATCCTTCTCTGATACTGTAGCTGTTTCCAAAAGCTGCCAGATAGGCTGTTGGCAAGAGGCTGGTGCATGCTAATGGAAAGGACACAGTGAAAGCAGATGATTTTGCAGAGATCTCATACCACATCACTTAAAACACTTTGTAGCATAAATAATATTCAACTGACAAGTCAGACTGCTTTCTAGGATGGTCATTAGATCAATGAAAAACCTAATGCCATTTGTGTATCTTTAGCACACCTAAAATAATTCTTTATGCAGTCTTAATTTTGAGGGTGTATTAACATAAACAAGAATTGTCTTAAAAAAAAAGAAGTCATCTTTTTAAATTTGCCGGAAGTTTTTACCACTAGAGGTAGTGCTGCTGCCAGGGAAAATAAGTTCACTCAGCAACAATCAAAAATCTGCTGAGTTTAAAAGGTAAAGTGATATTCTAATGCTACAGTGATTTGCACGTTTTCCTAATGGTTCAGGGTTGTAATTTTTCTTAGATGGAAATAACATGCATTCCACTGAAATGTCAGGTATTTGGGGAAGCTGAAACATACTCTTGCCTTGACAGCCAAAGTGCCTCACTTGAGTAGCTTTTTGGGATAAAAAGAGTTTGAATGATGTGTAGTCATCAGTCTGAGGTTGTTGCACTTGTTTCTTTGTTGTTTATTGATTCCTAGGTGCAGCTAATAAGAAGAGAAGATATACATTGTCATCTCCTGCCATCACAGAAGAAATGGTAATTCTGAATTTCAGCAGTCTAAAACAGGAACCCACATCTGCTACAGCAAAGGACTTATTTAGTGAAGTATTTTGACTGTGTGTTCAGAGAAAGACTTCCTCACAGAAGCAGTTTGCTTGTCCTTTACAGCTGCCTTGTTTGGATCTTGCCATTCTGTCAAACCAGAACTGTTTGCATTTGAAGCCACTTCAGGCAGAGCTGGCGTTGCCCTCGTGTAATGTGGCAATTACACTACAAATGCAGTAGGACCCTCCAAACCAGGCTGACTTGGTGGCTGTGATCCTGGCATGGGCAGAAAGAGCTTCCCTTTGGGGGCTCCATTTCTTTGGAAGTACAATGCCCCTCGGGTTTGCTTAGGGCTTGACATGGTTTCCACGAAAAACCGCTTTTGATGAGTCAGTCGGTCTTTTAAACCTGCACTTGTTTGTGTGAGCACACTGTGCTCATGGTAAGCCTGGCAGACTTTCATTGCAGATCAGGCAGTTCTGGACTCTGCAGATGGCCTTCCCAAGGGTTTGAAGCTATCAAGCAAACCTCCCTCTGGTTGCAGGGGGAATTGTTTTACAGGCTGTTGTTAGAAAACCTGTAAATAGAGCTTATTTTAAGTTTTGAGGTGATTCTCTTGGCTCTACGGAAGTGTGCGTGGGAATTCTCTTTGACATTTGGAGGGGTTGGGATTTTCTCTTTCTAGAGGAATTGGTGTCCAGCTTTCCTTGGGGAAAATAGTCTGCCTTTCCCAGGTCTTGAGATTAAAGGGAGTTCACATGAGGGGATGTGGATGATCTTTGCAGCATTTATGTAGTACTGTCAGAAGGGTTGGTTATTTTTCTCCAATAATTTCTCAGCTGGTATTATAACTGAGATTTGTTTGACCAGTTACTCACAGTATTGCTCTGTTTCTGGTCTTCTCCCACGCTAGTGATCTTGGAAATCAATACAAACACTGCAAATAAAAAGGTGAGGGTTTCCAGGATTTATCACTGTGGGATAAATTGTTTACCACTGTGTAAGCAATACACGTTTACACTGGTGGAGTTTTGGGACAGAACTGAAGAATTGTTCACAGTCCTGTGGTATGACGTGAAACAGGAGAGAATGACTGCATCCTCTCCAAAGGAAAACATTCCCCTTTTCCAAATCGTTCCCAGCATTACATCAGGTTTAGGGAGCTAAACATCATCTGCCCTGGGAGTTAGCAATAGACATTTGTTAACTTTTCTGCTATTTGCAAATGAAGTGATTAAGGAGGGTGGTGTCCCAAGTGTTGGGCTTTTCTTAGTGTTTTTGCTTTTTGCTTCCATTTTAAAAATTGAATGTCTGAAGAGGAATATCGCTAGCTGTGCAGAAAAGCTGACTGTATTCACAGAAATACAGGCTGCTTTCTATCTTTCTGGTAATGAAAACAGCAGTAAATGTTAGTATGATGTAAAAATATATTGTTTTGATTGTCTTACAGAAAACAGAAGAGAAAGCAGAAGAAAACCATTTCCAAACACTAAAAAGAAAAAACAACAGGCATAAAGGTGAGACTGACTTTATAGAGCAACTAGGAGGTATTATGATCTATTATGTTGAAGTCCAGAGCTTGGAGATAGCTGGTAGCAGTGATGCTGCAAATGTACCTTTATTGTTCTCCTGAGATGAGTGACTGTCCAAGCTCTGGCATGGCAGCCGAAGTCTGATTTGCAGAATGACTGTGGAGCAAACAAATGTCTGTGGTTTGGCTGAGTGAGACTTGCTGTGTGATGTGAGCTGGTGATTCACCTGAGAATGCCCCCGTTCTGGCTGCTGCATTCAGCTCTGTGTCTCCTGCAAATGGCGGTGCCTCTGCCTGACCTCCCTCCTCCATATGAGTGCAGCTAAATTTAAAAGGGAACCTGTCCTCCTTCACTTTAGTCTCCTTGTCCTGAGCCCCTCCTGAAGGAGAGAGGTGAGTTCAGCATGGTGGTGCTCTGGAGAGGGTTAGCTGAGGAGGTGCTGTGAGATGTGGGGGCAGCATATCTTACCTTTTGAAGCCTGGATGTACATAGGGTGCTTAACACAATGTAGCATTTTACTGCATAAATAGGATATTACAACAGTGAAATGGACCACAGGACCCGTCCTTCAGTGCTGCGCTTTTCATGTTACCCTGAAGCTCCTGCTGCAATTGCTTGTTGGGATTCTGCTGTCACCTGGAAGTTTGGAAGGTGCTAGTGGTGATTATTCACCTCCCTGTGGATATGCTTAGTGTATGGGCATGGTATTTCAGGTGGCCTGCCTACTGCTTTTTTCTGAATTTCTACTATCACTGTAAAGAACAGGGAATCTATAAAGAATCCTGAAATACTTGTAGGGCATCACATGTAAGTGAGATGACGTTTCTTTTCTCACAAATGTCTCCAGTAAAACACAGTGTTTTTAATGGAGACTGGCAGACTTCTGTGAACTGTCCGATAGCTCTTTCCTTTTGAACAGCCCATTGCTCATTGCTGAGACTTGTTGCTGACCTGCTGCTCCCAGATGAATTAAAAATAGACAGTTATTTCCCTAGCAGTCCAAATCTGACAAAGTAGGTCTATAAAATGGGCTGTAATAAACAAGTTTAATGCCTGGATCATTTGGAGTAAAAGTAGCCTTAATTATTACTAAATCCAATACTGATTCACTTCTTGCACTGTTTTCTGGTATGGTCCTAAGGATTGGAAGAAGGACAAGGAAGACAAATCACTTGCTTTCCTGTACTGGAGAGTTCCAGGAGTCTTTAGGAATGGTACATTTAGAGTTACTGAGATATTTGCTTTTGATGAATGAAGCTAAACCTAGAGCTTAGGGAATTTTACACCCAGCATAGTGCTTACATTTGCCAGACCGATTTTTTGTTCCCTTTGAAAAGGGCTGCATGGGTAGCTGGAGGAGCCAGAGATTTGCAAAAATATTTGCTACCAGAGGGAGGTTTTTCACCAAAAAGTTTTAGTTTTAGTTTCTGAAGACAGGGAGTAAAGCCCTCTTTACAGATCACTTGTATGAGTGTGTTTTTGTGTTTTACAGTCCAGATAGACCTTGTAAGGAAATGCAAACAGGCTGGGCTTCTAGATGACATATTTGAAGAAATGCTGGACACACTTCACCTGGCACAGGAAAAACTAATGGATGACAACACTTCAGAAACAGGTATGGAGACCCATGGGGGACTCTGCTTTCAAAGCAGAAATGTGGATCTGAATGCCAGGTACTTGGCCCTGGGCCACCTTCCTGGGGATACTGTAGTGCTAAATATAATCCTGTCTTGTTTCTGCAGCTGTGCAGTGGGTTGAGAATGACCTTCCCTTTTAAATGTTTAAAATTAAAATTCCAAGGAACTTTTCTCAACATTATATAAGAGCTGCCAACTGAGCATGCTCTAGTGAGACCTTCTGACTTGAATTTTTGAAGGCACCTTTTACCCACTGGTATAAACATAGGAAGGCTCAGAGTGGCCTCTTCTCCCAGGCAGTGAGAAAGAGAGAGGTCCTGAAGAGAACTGGAAGGTTTTATTTGGATTGTAAGTCTGTGTTGCTCTTACAGCTTCACAGAGGGACCAGCTGTCTGTTAATATCAGCACTCTCTTCTGAGTGAAAAATCTCTTGAGTATGTATATTTTAAGTCTTTGCCTGATTTGTTACAACTAAACTGTCAGCTCTTAGTGCCTATCTGGGGTTTTCATCAGTTTATCAGCTTCTATGAAGTACATTGTTCTTGGGGAATTCCAGTTTAATGTTGCTTTGTCCACAACACCGTTAAATAAAATTTCAAACCTTCCTCTCCTATTGTCCTCTCAGTTTTACAAAGTTATGAGTAATACCTTTGCATAAAGAATGCTATTTTATGCAAAGTAACTGAAGCACATGCATGGAAAGTGAAATTTCCCACCTAGATATGTCTTCCTTCACAAGCAGCTTGTGTGTGACATGACAGCAGCTGTTGGAAGCAGCAGTGAAGTCCGGGACACATTAGAGATTCAGAGTCTGCATCACAAAGGAAACCTCTTAATGGTCAGTTGAACTCTGTGAGCATTTTGTATTTTGCTTCAACAGAAGCTTCAGGTATGAAACTGCCGCATAATTCTTGGATGGTTTTTAACACTGAACAGGAATAGCTCTGTCCCACAAGTCACATGATCAGTCAGGGGAAACTGGTACGGTCAGCCCTGCCACCACACAGTCCTGACACAATGGAATGGAATATGACTTAAGTATATTGCTCTTTTTTAAATGGACTGTTCATGTGGTGCAGACCCAAAAAGGGAATTATTTTCTGTAGAGAACTAAAAAGAAAGTAGAATTGACAACTTGATCCTTCTTTCTCAATATAGGTTGTATGAGAAGGAAGACATCTTAAAACCTCAAGCAATCAGTATGATGGAAAATAAGTAACTACTGTTTTGTGTTACTTCTAATGTAGGGCTCTGTAAACCTTTACTTGGTAATATTAAATCAAATTATCTCTTTCCCCAGAATATGAAGAGACAGTAATGGCACTGTTTGACTGTGGACTGTTTGAAAATATACTGACAAATATTCATTCAGGTACGTGCAGAAAAACTGTTAGAACAGTAGCAGTTGGTCTGGGTTTTGGCATTGAAGCTATTCTGAGAATTTTGATAAAATTATAATTTAAAATGAAAATTCCAAGGAACTTTTTTTTCAATATTATGTAAACTCTTGAATAAAAGCCATTGCTACCTGAATCTTCAGAAATACAGCATGCCAATTTTGCTGAAGGGGGCAGGCAACTCAGTTCCACAGCTTTAAAAGGGTCTCTGCCCCAGGGGAACTCTCCTCTCCTGCAGGTTATTTTGGTTCCTTCTCTGCAGCCTCTCTTCAGTAGCTTGCCTGTGTTACAGCTCTGCTGCTGCCTGACAGGTGTTCAGACTAATACCTTTAGCTGAAACACAACAGCCAAGCACTAGCAGAACTTACCCTGGGCCTGGTGGCCATTCTGACATGCTTTGAAAAATAAGATGAGAATGCTCAGAGTGAAATGGAAACAAGGGCAGGAGCGGTTGCTTGGGATGACCAGTGTGGAAGGAAACTCTAGGGCTGATTTAAGCAACAAGGCTAAAACTTTTTCAGACAGGTGAGTCTCTTGCTCCGATTAACTCTTGCTCTCTAAGAGTTAGCAGCCTTGTTCTGACTTTTGCTTTAATTTATTACAGTGAAAGGGGCTTTAATTAGCTAACACTGAGGTTCAGTGTGTGAAGGCAATGTTTGCTGTTTTCCCTTCACTTGACTGAAAAAGCTAGGCTCCTCCCTTTAGTCTTCCGTTCTTGCACTTAAATCCCCTTTTCAGCAGTGGGAGTGTCTGGTGTTGCAGTTGTCTGACACAAGGTTCTGCCAGTGCCTCGTCAAAGGGCATTAAAACATCTCGGATTGGAATTCCTCATGTGACACAATGATCGTACTTGTTTCTTTCACAGCTGCATCAATTATTTCACCTTCTTCTCAGCTTGCAGGAAAATTTCTTGATATTGGCACCTACGTGCACACAATCATGTGATTCTTGTGGGTACAAGTTGTCCCCTCTCCCAGTTCCCCATGATTCGGGCAGCTCAGCTCTTCCTGTACCACACAATCTTCTTTTCTGATGCCACTGTCCTCCTTTTAATTTCAAGGTCAGTAATGAAAACACACATCAAGGCTGGTTCCAAAACTGATTGAAGAGGAGCTCTTAAAATGAACCAGTGAGAAAGGAATGAAAGTGAGACTGTAGGGAAGGAAGAATATCACCAGGTTTTTTTTTTTTGTTTGTTTGTTTTGGGTTTTCTGTTGTTGTCACCTGCTTTACAAGCTCTAGATAGGGAGTCTCTGTGGTGATGTACTAAGTCAAGGAAGAAATAAAGTAAGACTAGTATAAATACTGTGTCTTCTTTGATATTTTCCTGGAGCTGATGATTTTGGGTCATCTGACATGCCTTACCTTCAATCCATTTTTGCATTTTATTTTTTTCATTTGTTGCATTATCATGCAAACCCTGTTCTAAAGCCTTACATGTCAGCACAGCAAGGTTACTCTGAACTGTAACTGTTGATACTGCTATTTTAAATCCCTTTTACATGCAGGGATACACAGTTCTCTTGCAGCATGCAGCTTTACTGCAAACTTGTCTGCTTGTAAAACTTTCCATACAGGATGTGCTATCACCTCAGGAGCAGTTTCAAATTTCTAGGTCGGAGGTCCTTGTCCTCTTCTCCAAGGAAAAGTGACTTCCTTTAGTTTTGCTTTCAGTTCTGTTGTGCATCCTGCTTGGGAAGATACCTCTCTATCAGCTTCCATTTCCTCTTTGCTAGTCAGCCGTCTGTCCAGTAGCATTTGTTTTTTAGGGGGTTTGTAGCAGGAAATTCTGCAATTCAGTTGCACAGACAAAGGCCAAGATCCTTAATTTTAAAACTGTTATGCAGTTCCTCTACTGAGAGTCCACAGCACTTGTCTTACAGAAGATCAAGGGCAGTCCTTCCAGGCCCATGTCTCTCAGGCCATTCCTGATTTTAAAGAAATACATGTTCTTTCCCTTTAGGTCATTTCCTCTATGAGGTAGAAGGTTCCTAATCTGTTTCTGCCTTCCTATGGAAGCACTGCCATAGGCCAGCCATTCCCATCCCTGACATCTTTCTCTGGGCTATTTCTATTTCTGCCACATCCTTTTGGCAGAAGAGAAACTGAGCTGTATGTCTGAGCTGTAGGTCTTCCATCTGTAGATCACCCAAATGCTGAATACATCCTCACAGAACATTCTTAGTTGGAAGGGACCCATGAGGATCACTGAATCCAACTCTTAAGTGAACAGCCCCTATGGGGATTGAACCTGCAACTTTGGCATTACTAGCACCATGCTCTAACCAGGCTGTTTTGTTTACTTCTCATAATTCTTTAATTCATATTCAAATAGTCTCTAGGAGGGTTTTTTTTCCAGCTTTCACTTGTATATGTCCAACTTTTTCTTCAAGTATATGCCTGCTAGTTCTTGTGACCGCATGGGCTTGGTACCACATGGAAGTGCCATGAAGGTTGCCTGCCCCCCGCCCCTGCAGTGAAGGGGACTGTTTCCATTGTGGATTTGTCTGCTGTTGAGCTGTTAAAAACACTGTGAAGGGGCAGGCACAGGTTTTGGGGGGCAGCAGGGGGAAGTGCTGTCAAATATTGATGTCACCTGACTGCAGAGAGAAGGAGCCACCTGCTTCTCTTCAGTCAGAGCAAGCGTGGGGCACCAATGATCTGCTACCCAGAATTTTCCATGGGCAGCAGGCACCACCATCATTCTGGAGCCTGTTTTCAACACCCACACCCAGCTCTGGGTAATGTACTTAAAAACATGCACAGACAGCAGCAGTTATGGGCTTTCTACTGCAGAGGAAGAAGCAGCAGGGGGGGGTGGAAGGCCAAAGGTGCTTTGCTTTTTTTCTTTTTTTTTAATCAGTTAAGGTTCTGTAATTCCAAATGTCATGGGATAAACATCTGGAGATAATTTCCCACTCCACCCCTTTGGAGACATCCTCTTTCCCCCAAAAGAGAAAAAATGTTTTCAGTTTATATAAAATGTCTTTTCCTTCTTACCAGAATGTGAACTCTTGACATTCTCACACACTGAGAAAAACTCATTTGTTGTTCACAGACCAACCTTGCTGCTCAGAGGTCACCAACACCTCTGTGTGTCTTGTTAACTGAACAAAGCAGGTGCTTCATTTAAAACTTGCAATTAACACTGTAAGGTTTGGTAATGCTGCTGAATACTGACAAGGCCTGTTACCAAGATCTCACTGACTTCAATAATCTTTAACATTAGGAAAATGGAAGCAACAGAGAGAAGCAGAAATGCAGTCAGGCAGAGCTTTGCAAATAAGGTAAACACCTTGGTTAATCCCATCAGGGTACTGTCAATAACAATTCTGCCAGAAGCAGAATTAAATGCTCAAGTTGTAGTTTTGAGCGTAGAGTCATTGAATGCAGTTGTCCAAATCATCTCTTTTTAGGTTTAATTGTCTTGTATGCTAAAATCTGCTACTAAATTTACATTAAGACTGTAATTCAGAGATGTTATCTTTAAATATTTAAAATGCATCTTTTTCCCATAGAAATGAAATCTGAAAAGGGAATTGTTAAAGTTCATATGCCAGTTGGCACTGAGTTAGTAACTAAACTAATAATTTTTACATATGATGTGATGGTTTAAATTTAATCTCAAAACCAGCTACATTATGGATTTTGTTAGGTGGATGACAAAGTATGGGAACACGACTTTGTGCTTTCTTTGATGTATCAGTTGGGCTCTTTCTTCCAACACATGGTCCAGCTTTTCAGGAAGAGCCCAAACATACAGAGTGATGGGTTAAAGATGTTGCTGAAGAAAGGCACAGGATTGTAGTTTAAACTAAGCATTTGTAGCCTCTGCAGTGTTTATGCATATGTAACATGTATTTTAAATTAAATAAATAGTTATGTATGAATAAAGGCTTTTTTATCCTTTTCTTTTTTGTAATAGGAACAGAAGAAAAAATACAAGAACTTCTAGAAAACAGAAAAAGACTGGATCACAAGATAGAGCTACTGCAGGACTTAAAAGAAGTCCTTCCTACCCCAGAGAGCACAGCCAGTACATCTAGTATGCTGTCTGAATAACGCTTCAGTCTGTCTGTAATCATGTCAATATTTAGGATTTTCTAATGATAGAAACCCTAGAGCACATCTGGTTCATGTCTAAGTAAGTTCCCGCTCCCAAGACAGGGACATAAACAAGAACTGGGTCACATACTCATTTTTATACCTCAGTGATGCAATAATTTTAAGTTCTTAAAATTTTCAAATCATCTTCAAACCTTACTGTGTAGTACTTCAGTGTTATACGCTAAGTTTAGCTTTTTTACACCCTCCAGTGAAGACTTTTTGCTCCAAGACAAGGGAACACCAGATGCAACAGAACACTTGTTAAAAAGTTACTTTAACTGTGGAGCCCTCTCCTGACTGTGCCATAGCTGCTTCACTGTCTGTGTCTAGACAGTGATGTTTTCAGGATCATATTGGTGCTTTGGCTTTCCAAAGAAGATAAATGAGCAGAACTTGCACTTAAGGAAGCCTTTTGAATGTTGAACAGGACTTGAATTAAAAAAAACAAGTTATTCTTGTGTGACTGGTCAACGTGTAACTAGTTCTGCTGTAACGGCAGTGGCAATACAGTGTTTACAGGCAGACCAAAAACAGTTGGGCATTATCCTCAGAATATGTACAATGTCAAAGGGATCAAACACCGGTCTGCGTCTTCCTTTCTCCATTACGAAAGGATCCAACTTCCCTGTGTTTTGCCTTTAAAAAGTTGTTTGAATACAGAAAAGCATTGTTTGTCTACAAAAGGTGAAGTTCACAAAATAAAACATTTTTTAAAAAAGCTGTGTATGGAGTTGTGCTCACTGCCCCCCCTGCTGCATAGGATGTGACCAAGGAGGAGAACAGTGTCAGGCCCTGCTGTAACCACCCCATGCCTCAGGAGGAAGCAGAGCAGCAGCAGTGTTCCACTGCCCTCATGGTTTCATGAGAAGTGTAACATCCTGTTACAACAGCTGTACTCTGCCCCTGACCATTCAGAATTCCTGACGGGAGCTTGTTCTGTAGGACAGTGGGTATCAATAAGCACAGAACAACGTTCAAAACAAGCTCTTGAACTATTAGCTGTACCCCATAGAACAAAATACTAGTAATTTTAATTGCTTATACACTTCAGGCCTGCTGCCTGTCTGGGCCTAGAAACACCACCAGCTTACTGCCCGAGCCCAGGACTCAAGTGCCACTCGGAGCAATTCTGCCTAGAAAACGCCCCCCTAAAACAAAAGTGCATTAATGTGGAGCTCTGGTTATTAAAAATACACGATGAGAATAGTAGGTGTGTATGTCCATACATACCTGCTGTAGGGTTACAGTCACAGATGGATGACTTAATGAAAAAAATCAGATCCATAGACTGCAATCACGGAGGTCTAAATTAGAGCCTACAAACAAATTTGCTCAATTCTGAAATCAAAATCACAGGTATTGTCAAGTACAGTGAAATCAGCAAGATTCAGTAACATAGCATGAAGGGTTAGTTTGGCTATGGTTTTTGTTTGTTGGGGAGTTTTACTTTGTTGTTTTCTTGGGTTTACGTTTTTTTTTTTTAAATAAAGCAATTTATACAGTATGTAACACAAAAAGCTTGCAAACATTCTTCAAAGTCTAAATTAGTTTGCTAGTGAACAGGTACAAAAAAAAAATTAAATTTTATTACATGTAGTTTAAATTTAGACAGTACTTAAAAGCAAAACCCCACCCAACTTTCAGTACAGTATATCCCTTCCCCTCTGAGGGAACCAATGTAATCTGAAGTCACTCAAGAGGGAATTATTTCCATTAAGCATTATAAATATTGCTTGAACAGATTACACAAAGTACATATTACAACTTATATTAAAATATACCCAAATATAGAGATTTACTCCCAATTAGTTTTGCTAGTAACTCCTTTCCTCAAAGTCACTTGCCTAGGCTTTGAGGATACATTATTTTTGCACACTTTAAGCACTGGATACGCTTGGTTAATTACACACAGCAAATGGTCAATTCATTCAATATCATGCAAATGCAGTAAGAAATAACCATGCCATTTGCTTCTCTATAATCCCAGGGAGTTAATGATTTTAAGTGACATCATTCAGTGGCTCCGACCCCAAAACGTAAACTGAACATAGGAGCAGGCAGTGCTAGAACTGAGATTTCCTAGGCTAGAAAGGTAAGTCCGGAACACCGGCCAGTATCCTTTGCATGCCGCAGCATTTCCTGTCTCAAACCTTGAGCTGGTTCCACCATCCAACTTGGTTAAATGAAGGTGAATATTTTGCTTGGCGTTTTTACATCAGTTCACCGTGGAGCACTGAAAATATTTGTTTTCACTGTGGCCTTTCACGTCTTCTGGTGGAAGAGGCCACGTAACGCTTGCTGTACCCGTACAGTCATGGCATCCTCCTGTAACTGCAAAAAACCTCCCTACCAGCACCGTAACTTACAGCCTCATGTCAGTTCTTAAAGGCTCCACATTTACTGGCTTTAGCAATGAATTCCTTTAGCAGTGGACCATCCATTTGCCAAAATGCTGTAGTTTGTGTCACTTCTGTCAAATGATTGACACAAAACTTAAAGCAGAATTCCTCTAGGTCCTAAACAGGGGAAAAAAAAAAAAGAAAAAGTGTTATTCTCTTTGTTTTCATCACAGAAAATTTCAGTCAGTCACAAGTGCCCATGTATGCTTTATTTTTGCAGAGAACTGGACAAGCATTAACCCAGTGGCTCTCAATGGTTTGCTCCCCAAACAGTCACTACATAAATGCAACAGAAAATAATAATTCTACCCATCCATGTCACTATGTAAATGCGGTTAGAAGTAACCAAAATCTGGTTCTTACTATATAGTGCAGTCAAAAAAATCAGCTGTTTTGAGCAATATATATTTTAAGTTCTCCCACATGAAGATTTTCAGCTGCATTCAGTAACAGCTATTAAACTCCAATACAAATAGAAGATCTCAGGGTAATGATATATAATGAAGACTGTGGATGAAGAAAAAATTCAACACTTTCGTTCCATAATATAAACTCAAATGTTTCTGTAGGGCTGCCTGACCTCCCGCTTAGCTAAGGGCTTAACTAGACCCTTGAAGTTACGTGGCAAAAAGCCTCACAACCGTAAGTGCACCCAGGTGATGTCAGACCAAAAGGATGTCTTAACACAAGTCACTGTCAATATAAGGACACTTCCCACTCAGACTGAATATTTCCAAGTCCTCTTTTGAGAAGGAATCTACTCTGTGATGCAGATCTAAGCTGCTGTAAGGAGGACACTGCAGCCCTTACAAAAGGGCAATTCCCCACACTGTTCCCATTTCTTTATTTAAACATTTGTAGGACCAGTACTCTGTATGTGAGAACACACCCTTCCTCAGCACTGCAGGAAGGCATAACAAATTTGCAGAGCTCTTTAAGCCACATGAGGTATGAAAGACTAATCATGTTTTTACTTAAGGTCAATACTGAAAGCTACAGCAACTGTGTGTGTTAGTGGGAGTTCTTGACACAACAATAATATAAAAATATATCCTGGCCTAAAACCAGGCATTCTGAAGCTGCAGATCTTGACTTGTGTGGCATCTGTGCAACAAAAAAAGACAAGCTTATTAGAACTGAACACTGATGTTTTGTATTTTTTTTTTTAAATAACAGAATTAACTAGCATTTTAAAGAAAATTACATCATACACATTAGAATATTTTGCACTGCTTTATTAAAAAAATTCATATTCCAAGTCAATGCAACAGAAGCATACAATAAACAGAATTATTGTAGTATTAGTAAGTAACTCTGGAAAATTTAAAGTTCTGTATTAAAAAAAAGGCTGAAATTCATTTGCAGATGAATGCACTCCCAGCAAACTGTACTTAATATAGACTTAGGTGAATAAAGGCACAGCTAAGGATTATTTTAAAAGCCAGTCCTGACCTAATGATAGTCACTTCAGTCAGTCACCAAAAGAAAGTGTAGGAGAGTTTCACGTCATGGAGGTATTTTAAAATCAGTGAAGCAGCTTCTTTTAACTGTTCTCTTCCAGGCCCACACTCCCTTGAATGAACTACATCGCTCAAGCAATTTCAAGTCCCCAGCTACCATTACAGCATGTAAAACCAGCTTTTTTATAAAAGCCCAACCCCTCAGGGTCACCCATTCTCTCCTGGAAGCAGTATTTAGGTCTATACTTTTCACTTGATTTTTAATTTCATTTAGCTAGCGAGGTATAGACAAAGCATAGTAACTGGATTTCTTATATCCTTTACAAGCAGAATCAATCACAAACTGAAGATCTGTCCTGCAAACAATCTTGAGGCTAAAGTATGCCAATCTTCTACTTTTGATGAACTCCTACCAAAGACATCATTATTCGCAGTAGAGCTTAAGGCACAACAGACACTAACACAGCCCCCTTTGGGTAAGATATATCAAACAAGCAACACACTGCAAGGCTCTGAAATAAGTTAGGGCTACCTGCATGCCATTTGCTTGATATTGAATACAAGAAAAAGCAATGAGTTGATTTACTGAGTACCAAAAAACTGCTTTATAAGCATACGTAGCAAGTTAAAAACCAACCAATCGCCAAGTTGCCAACACAATGCACAGATACTACACTGAACACAAATAGCCAAAGCAAGCCCTGGCATACTTCCCCATTAGTTTTCAAAGCTGCATGTTAGTGGTCTAGTAGTGAAGTCAGACATCATGCAGTAGGGAAGTTTCACCAGCCCTCCCCCCTTTCCGCACACTGTTCCTCCCTCTTCAACATTTGTAAGGCCCATGAAGCAGTTCTTAGTTTGACACATCATTAGCAGACAGAGAAAACTGGAACTGTATTTGACTGTAGCTAAACAAAACAAAAAAAGCCAACAAAAAAAAAAAATCCCACCAACCAAAAAAAAAAGCCAAATGCACCCAATCCCCAACCTACCATCATATGTCATCACACACAACACACAGCCTTACAAATAAGTAACTTGAAGGCTTACAAGTCTGCTTTTCATAGTGTTTTCCATGGTATTTAAACCCTTCCCCTGTTTCAGAGTTAGTGTTTTTATCCTCAGAAATATCTGTGTACTAGCTCATCTTCTCAGAACTGGTTTACGGGGAAAAATTAAGATACATCTCTCATGGCAAATACAGTTTTCAGAAGTCCAACATTCTCAAATTCTGAAAGTGGCAAATAGCATTATCTGACAGCGAGTGAGAGAGCTTATATGAAAATGTAACTGGCTGCCTTTCTCCATAGTTTAGGTCAGAAACCAGCCACCTATTTAAGAGACTGAACTTTAGAAGTTTACCTCTGCATCATATCTCACAGCAGCAGAGAGCAATGAAAATGCATTTTCCACAGTAATTCCTCTCTTGATGATGTGCTGACACAGTTTTTTCAGTCTGTTTTCACAGTATGAAGTAGCCAAATCCAAAAGCCCTGCAATTAAAACACCACTGTATTAGTTAGACGTAACGATCTCTGCTCTTTCAGCAACAATTTATGCTCCCAGGGTACAGACTGCATCTGTATTCTGTGTGCAAAGCTCTGAATCTCTATAATGTGATTTTCGCAAGCAGGTCACTACTCAGAAAATGTACACTACACACAAAGAAAGGCCTTTTATAACCTCGTGCTGCAATCCTCTTAATCTCTGTAAGCATGAGAGCTGTTCCTCTGATCTGCATACCTAATGCTTGCAACAGTGTCACAAAACAGGCACCACAACACAACATGAATAAAAACACTACTAATATCAAAATATGGGCTTGAATTACATCTTGCTGTAATTGCTCTGCTGTACAAGTTTTCCCATTAGATTTACTGAAATTATTTGATAATTATGTCAAACAATAATTGACTCAATTTAAATATGTAAGTATTTTAACCCAGAGAAATAGTTTCTCTGCCAAACTTGAAAAAGTTGCTCATAGTTTATTTCTAAATGTGCACGATTTTTGCTGTATTAAGTTTGCTACAAGAGTCTTTTAAAGACAGCTTAATTAATCACCAGT